CTTGCTTCTCCAACTCGGCCAGCAACTCAGGCTCGAGATGTCTCAACCTCGCTTTGTACGGCTTGCCGCTCGCCTCGAAACGCGCCTCGTACTTGATGCGCGCCACCTTTGGGTTCTCCCATACGTCTCTGTATGCGACCAGCAGATTCCACAGCTCGTCCCTCAGGCTCTGATCCAGGTGTCCCGTGCCCTCCACGAACACCTGACGCTGCGTCTCGAAGGGATCCTCTAACTGTTCCTCTGCCACTGGCGGCTGCTATGGGTACTTCTCCGCAAGCCGTATCGCGTCCACTGCGCCTCTTTGCGCCGCAGGACCAACGCCTTCCCGGACCGTCTCTCAATCAAACCAAACCGTTCCAATTCTACCCTCCCTAGGAGGTTCGGGGCCGATGGTTGGTCGTGCACTGCGAACCCCACTTTGTCTGTGCATCGTGACCGCTGCCGGCACGGGTAGTGACCCCCGCCTGGCCCTTCCTCTTCTTGTGGGCGCTTGGTTCCTTGTTCACGAACTTCTGCACCGCCTTGAGATAGTCGGTCCGTGCCAAGTTTGTTGTAGTTGTGAGCTCCGTCCTCGGACCCCGGCTCTTTCATGGGTCACCTCACCGTGGCGAAGACGGTTGTGATTGCTGTTCTGTCGCCCTCTCATACACCCATTTAAATTGGCCCAGAAAGACGAGGCGCCGAGGCGTCTCCAGCAGCCGGCTGGTGAGTTGAAGTATTTTCATCAAATTAGTAGTTAGGATCCGGTCAACAAGACATCGGTCAAGAAGAGACTGGTCAAGAAGAAATTAGTGACTGAAGAAGGAATCTGAAAAGGAGAGATCGCTGAGAAGAATACTGGTTAATTAAGAGCAATAACAATGGAGGGTTCCCTGCTGCAGCGCCTGTTGTGCTACGAAGACCAGATCCAAAACGGCAAGGAAAACGTGGCGCTCTCAGTTCCCGTTGAGCGTGTTTCGATTGTAAGTCCATCCCGGTTGGGTGTGTGACACAGGGTGTGTGACACAGGGTGTGTGACTTCCACACACACAGGGTGTGTGACTTCCACACACACAGGGTGTGTGACTTCCACACACACAGGGTGTGTGACTTCCACACACACAGGGTGTGTGACACACACACACACAGGGTGTGTGACACACACACACA